TTGGGTGGGAACTTTGGCTTTTTGAACTTTCAAGTAATATTCTCCTCATAAGCCATGTATAGGTTTTGGTTCATTCTAGCACACAAATTTATGTCGCAACAGATCTTCTGTCCCACACCCTGTGCCATTCTCTGTCCTACTTTTTATTATATTGCCATTTCTCCTTCATAAATATCATGTTTTAGTTCTTTTTTGTTTTCTTAAAATTCAATAACTACAAATTCAGTAAAAAATAAATACAACAGTTTCAAAAAATCAATATATAATAGAAAATTAAAAAATACAGCAGAAAATTCATAAAAAATCTCATTTTTTATGCATTTTGATTTTTTGAGTTTGTTAAATTTTGTGTATTACTAAATTAATAGTTATTGGATCTTAAAGAAACAAAAAGGAACTAAACATGATGTTTATGAAGGAGAAATGACAATATAATAAAAAGTGGGACAGAGAATGGCACAGGGTGTGGGACAGAAGATCCGTTGCGAATTTATATGCCCCCTTTCTTTTATTCTGAACCTTTTTTCGCTTTAGCCCTTGGGCTACTAGTGATCTACCCCTGTCTAGAATATGTCCATGCATGAAGATACCGTTTCACCTCTGCGTCTGCGTGGAGTAAACATCCGTAATGCTTCAGAGTTCAGACAATAAAAGAGGAAGGAAACAGATAATTCTAGCAGCAACACAATCCTAGGAAAGATATGTGATTATCAAGCAGGTGGAAGTTCCAAAAATTAGAGGTCTGGATTTAATTCCTCCCTTTCTCTCGCCGTTTCCTAATATACCATGCTAAATATATGTGTATGTGATTATCAAGTAATAATATCAATTCTGGCTGTTGTCCATATTTCTTCTAGACTCTCCAAGTTTGGTAAAAGTACATATTACACACCTTGTGAATAAGAGAATGCAAATAATTAGTTAGATCAAAATCTCAGAAGACAAATACGATCCCAAATCTCTTAATAATAAACAGTTCATCAGAAGCAAACAGTGATATGAAAGTGGTGTAGTGATTGTTTAGCAAAGCAAAATATAAGAAGGATTATTGGGACACTAAAAAAAAAAAAAATTCAAAGGCAAAACAAATAAGGACACAACGCAATCCCATGAATTTTCTCCAGGAATTCATCTCCCGAGGGGCTAGGGGAGCAAGAAAAAGATAGGCCTACAGAATGCATCTGAGTTGAATTGAAAGCATTAGTTAGAATCGTACCCTTCCAAAACCAGATTCCATCATGCAAGCGGACGTAAACTCAATTCTAACGATTACTCAGTGGTTCCTCTGGTCTGGGAACTCGGAAGGAATATTATGGCTCACATAAAATATTCACGGTCTACTTTACTTGTTCACTTGTCCTGGCTTGGCATATGGTCAACAGAACAGTCATTTGAAAATATATAACACATCATCGGCTGGGAACGCCCTCCGTTGGGTTGGATTAAAATTAATGTGGATGGTACTTCTGCAGACAATTCAGGAAGAGCAAGAGGAGGAGGGATAATTAGAGATGATAAAGGTGTATGGTTACGAGGGTTCTGCATCAATCTAAGTTTGGCCAACAACATATCGACTGAGTTATGGGCTATTGCCCAAGGTTTAAAACTGGCCTGGTGGATGGAGTTAAAGACGGTCGTGTCAGAGACGAGGCAGACTCCAAAACAGGTCTACAGCTGATTAAGAGCAGTCCATGAGATAGTTCGCATCATAACATCATCAAACAAATCAAGGAGTGGATGAGGAAATCATGGGAATGCAAGCTTTCGTACGTATGGAGAGAGGGGAGCAATGCCTCGATGTTTTGGCAAAACAAAGTTTGATTCTACAGCCAGGATTGCATTGGCTACATGAGCCTCCATAGATGCTAAAGCACCTTACGTTTCGACTAAATTGAAAATTGAACAAAAAAACATTTTATGCATAACAGGGGGCAATATTGATATTTCATGTACAGCTATTAGACTAGATGCTTTTCGTTCAATTTTCAATTTAATTGAAATCACAGTGAGTTATAGTGTAAGTTTTTAAATCAGATGGAGTTAAATTGAACATTCGACAAATCACAAATTTTTTTGGCATTTTATCCAAAAACGAAAAGATACAATACTTCACTTCCAATGTATCCACCTTCAATCTTTTTGTGTGTCTAAAGCCCAAGGTTACGTATTCAATATCAAAGGAACTTCTGCAAATGTTTGAGATTAAGTTGTTTGTATCTTAATGAATCGACCATAACAAATTCCTTCTTAAGATAAGGGGGAAAAATTGACCTCTATGGCCAAAAGAGAAGTTATATTTTACACCATTGACGCAAACATATTCGAAATATAACTTTTACCAGCATCATCACTTGTAGCTCAACATATTCTGACTCACTACAGTTGATAGGATGCAATTCTTCTTCGTTTTGAACGATAGATTTGTTCTAAGTAAATTCTAAAGGTTTCATCTACTTTTTAAAAGTAATCTTTACTCAATTAGCATTCGTGAACTTCAAATCTATTGTCATGCACAGACAATATGCATAATTTATGAGAGCCTATAAATTGAAGAATTATACAATAGAGTCTAGATCATAAACTTAAAGTTTAGGGGCAGAGACGGATTCTGTTTAGCAGTTCTGGGACTTACAAATAGCTAAAAGAAATGTATAGGATTAATTACTATTTTTGAGAGAATAAGAATGACCTAGTATTTTGTCTGCTTGTAAACTTGCCAACTTGAGTACAAACAAGGTGAATGGAAACCCACCAAAAAAACAAAAAAAAAAGGTGAATAGAAACCAGAGAAGGTAGGGGGTGGAATTATGTATACTTGAGGGTGGCAATTATTCCCCTCGAATTTTAAAAAATTACATAATAGGCTTGAAATTTAACAATTTTTTTTTGTTTTGCACCTTATTTGCTTCACCATAATATTGTAAAATTTCCTTCCTTAACTAAATTGCCCCATTTAAATTTTAAAAAGTTTACTTCTCTATCTATGTTTCCTTTATAAATTTCATAAAATTCTATCCATATAAAATTTCACAATTATATTGCATACATTCTAAACCAAACATAAACGTCGCTTCCTGAAGAAAAAAAATTCTACATTTTCAACTTAATTAAACAATACTATGATCATCGTAATACATCCAAATTAGTAGTTGAAGCATAAGGTTATATATATATGTTGTAAACAGAATTGATAATATGTTTTCACTTTGCTAGAAAGTATCTTCAATCTGACCGTTCCCCCTGCCACTGAATAAGTCGCTAAATAATAGATTTTGATCTCCTCATGGCTGTCAACAATCTAGTGGTTGGCTCAGTGTGTCCATCATATCAGATACCCTGGTCAAATCAATTTGTTGGTTCACCTTTTTAAAGTATAACAATCACTTATACAGTATAGTCGACAAAAGTCAATGTTTTGAATTTGAACCATTAATTGAACCGATAAAATAATCGGATCGAGGTTCAATCGATCAGATTGGTTCAACTCCGATTTGATGATACTTTATATACATACATACATATATATATATATATACACACACACACACACATTTGTGCACAGAAGACTGATATCCCCTGGACTAATTTAAGACATCATTTAATAAAAAGTTAAATATTTTTAAACACAAATAAATTTTTAAAATTATAAATTAAAACAAATAAATTCATCTCAATTGTACCTACTTGGTAAAAATCTTAAATCGCACACAAACCACAACCATATTCTAAAATTAAACAAAATGCATTATAACTTTTGAAATTAAACAAAATCTAATAGAACTACAAAAGAAACGGCGATCTTTGAGTTTGAGGGTGAAAAATATAGAGAGTTTGGTTACTCTTTTAGAAATTAGAATTGGGAACAAAAGATTCTATTGATAAGTTTTATTATGTTAAAAACTTTAGGTTCAATTTAAAAAAAAAAAGATGGGAAAAATGAAAAAATCACGGTTCATGGTTCAATCCGGGTTAAACAGTCTGACTGGTTTTTTGCGCCTTTTTAAGCATCAAATATACACTTCCTCGTACTTCTTGCGCCTTTTTACGTAGTGGCTGGAAATTCATGGATAGATGCCGCAGAAATGTCGTTTTTATATCGAAGTTATAATATTATCCTTTCTACAGCAAACATAATCACTGAAATGAAGCACTTTCTTGATAAGCGAAAGCAGCGAAAGGTACTTCTGAAACTATATGGAGATTGGAGAACCCCCAGACGAACAAAGCTACAGTTGCATTGCGTAGGAAAAACAGATGGGATGCTTTGATGATATTTATTGCAGACAAAAGGGAAACAAAGCTCTGAGGAAGAAGCGATTGAAAAGAGAAAAAGCATTCTTCCGTGATAGGTCCAAAATACATATTTTTGGAGCTAAAATTTCGTCGGTCCATAGAAGATTAATAGTCACTGAAAAATGTTTGGGATTTTACACTGGAAGTTCACTAATTGATACTCTGCAGTTCCAAACTTGAGAAGGGAATTTTGATGCCCTGGACCAATCTCCACCTGATCAGCACTATCATTGACAATATGGTCCACTTCTTTATATTTATTAGCTTGCTTTACAGTACGAAAGTTGGAGTGAAAAATGCCTAGAGATTAATTAATTTTGGACACTTTTCGTTTTCCTTTTTTTCTTTTTCCACTTTTAGGTATAAAACACTTATAGGATGTCCACTTCTTAAAACTCATCAACTAACGAAAACCAAAATGACTAGAGAAAAAAAAAAGAAAATTCTTGGAAACAGAAAAAGTTAAGATTCTTATCATCAAGAAGAATACCATGTATCCAAGAAATAATAATGATTGGCCAAGCATAGATACCTCTTGCCAATTTTGAAATATATATAAATAGCGAAAGCCCGTGAACAATATGTGCACAACTAATACTTCTCCACTTCCCTCCCTCAAAGCATTGGCACCTTGGAGGAGAGAATTTGCTCCCATTTGCCGGGGGAGTCCAAGAGGGTCCGTTGTTGAGGTGGTTTCAACAGTGACGATGTATAGGGGGGTAGATCCTCTAGTGGTTGGACGTGTGATAGCAGATGTTTTGGACCCCTTCAACAGGTCCATACCCCTTAGAGTTATCCATGGCAACAGAGACGTGATTAATGGTTGTGAGTTTAGACCCTCTCAGGTCGTTAGCCAGCCTAGGGTTGAGATTGGAGGTGATGATTTTCGTAGCTTCTATACTCTGGTAAGTAAGCTTGATCATCTTCTCTGATTACCAAGAAAAATAAAAAGCTGATTATCATCATCACCATCACCATCATCGATGCACATTTTCAGTTTCCACCGGCCACTATTCCATTGAAAAGTTTTTGACTGTGGATATTAGTGTAAATCCCAGTACAATGTTGGAGCCTGAAATATTTTTTTCTTCTGGTTCTGTAAATAGTATGGGATAGCAACGATATGCATGGACATATATAATCAAAAAATGCTAATACAAGAGGATATAAAGAATTCACTAATACCCTACAACTTATTAAAGTATCAAGTTTTTGTATGTATAAAGATTGACTGGATTCCTTAAATCATTGAATTTGTATTTGTAATCATCATTAAAGTGAAACATTATTCGCATTACTTCTTTCTTTTGTTAAAAATTGTTATCAAATTACTCATAACCAGGTATACATTATTAGGGTAATCAAAAACAAAAGTTTGTACACAACCCGACATTTGAAATGTGCATTCTCCTCTGGTCAATGGGGTAGATCGATAATTAATAAGGTAAAAATATTTTTCGAAAGAAATTCTATGACCCGAGTTGCAATTTTTCTTTGGTTAGCGGGGGGCACTTTAGTCTGTAGGAGGATTTGTTTTTGTTCATTTTGGTTTGGTGCCTTTATTTGTTTGATTCATGAGTACTCCAGCCTGCTTTCTGAGCTAAAAAGTGCTGCTCAGTTGGAGGTATTCCTTTAGGATTTCACTCATTCAGCATGAAAACATATTTGACAGCTTTCATTGTTGTTTATGAAGGTGATGGTAGACCCTGATGCTCCAAGTCCCAGTAATCCAAACCTTCGGGAATATTTGCACTGGTGCGTACTCTCTAGAAATAGCCTTTCTCTCTCTCTCTCACTTTCTCTTCACATCTGGTGCATGCAGCCAAAAAAGAAAATGGCCTCTGTCATCTTGGACGTTTAGAAATGTCAACATCTGCTGCGTACTGGTCTGTTAAAAAATATGCAAGAAAACATCATGCTGCTACAACTTTCTATTATACTATTGCATTGGAAACTTTTGAGACAACAACAAAGAACAGAGAGGGAGGAAAAAGAAAAATTGACAAAAGAGAGAGAGTAGGACAGGAGTGACGTGACAATGATGATCTATGAAATCTCTGTTAAAATACGGTAAAAATGGTGTGCAACATCCCGAGCCCATTGAGCTTGTGAGTTGAAATTATCAAATGGATGATCTAAAATTATTAGTAATTCAATGTGCGAGATGTTATATTTCATTCTTTTTCCCTTTCATTTTCTTTTTCCCCTTCATTTGCCGATGTGCGACATCTCACTCACCCCACCTCTAGGAAGGTAATGTCCTCGTCATGGAATCTACTCCCACATCTCACTCATCCCACCACCTCACCTTTATGAAGGTTGATCCTCATAAAGGATGATCATGGAGTTCACTTAATCGTGTGTGGATTTTAGATGTGGTTTGTATAGGTTCTAAAAGTTGCCCTCGTCCAACATCTTACACACTCCACTTTTAAGAAGATTGTGTCATCGCAAAGACGATCATGGAGTCTCCTCCCACATATTTAGTCGTGCATGAATTCTAGATGTGGTTCATACAAGTTCTAGAGGTGACCATCGTCCAACATCTTACTCACCCCACTTTTTAGAAGATCGTATACTTGCAAAGGACGATCATGGAGTCCACTCCCACATCTAACGATGTGAGACATCTCATTTATCGCACCTTTACGAAGGTTGGGTTCTCTTCATGGAGTCTACTTTACGAAGGTTAGGTCATCGCAAAGGGGGATGATAGAGTCCACTTAGTTGTGCACGAGGACACACTCTAGAGGTAATCCTTATCCAATGTGGTACGGAAGTAGCTCGTAGGTCAATTGGCACGTAAGTGGCTCGTAATTAAGTCTAGTAGGTTTTAGAGGTGGTTCATACGGAATTGGCCCCGCACATGAAAATACAATCCCCTCCAATGTAGTACTTAGTTTTGCATATTCTACGAGTGATTCGATTCGTACGGACCCTAAGACCAACATCACTGTGCGCCAAGCTTACCTTTCTCGTGCAAAGACCAAACGAGATTTTCTCTGATACCATTTGTAATGTTTTGAGCTTAGCCCAATAAATTTTTAGATTGAAACTGCAGGTCAAAATAATCAATCCAAAATTATATGCCAATAATACAACCCCCCCCCCCCCCTCATCTGCCGATGTGGAACATCTTATTGGTTGAGCTGAACGAAAAGGTTGCAAGTAACAAGTACATACATGGTGTCGCGGGATCACATTGGACACGTAGTAGGAAGAAGAAAAAAACAAACAGTAATGTAGGCCACGTTGTCGACGTGTGAATATTTCAGGAATGCTTGAGTGAGATTCTGTTTCTTTTGGTAGAAATGAGACCCTTCTGTACATCACTATATCTCCGCTTTATTTCATTTTCAAGTGATTGACCTGCACGTAACTTTTAGGCTCTCAGTCATGGACCATGTGAAAATATTCATAGACCAACGAATTGTACCCTAGTATCCCTACGTGCTTCTAAAGCCGCTCTGTGGTCCTTACTTCAGAGCGCGCATTAAAAAGAGAGAAGTGGACCCGTTTGAATGGTGAGTATTTTGAGCGTTTCTATAAAAACTTTATTGTAGCTTATTATTTATTATAGAAATCGTAGAAAGCTTTCTTAGATTTGAGGGTTTTGAGAAAGAAATTCTTTTTTTCTTTAAGGAAGGAGGAGGAGAGGGGGAAAAAAAAAGAAAGGAGTTGTCAGCGCCAGCACCGGCGGTTGAGATGGGAAGAGGAAGAAGAAGAAAAAGAAAGGAAAGAAGTGAAATTTTTTGTGTATTTTGAGATATGTATTTTAAAATTTCGAAGAGTTTTTTGAGGTTCGTATGTATTAAATATTTTACTATAACAATAATGTAATTGAAAAACTTTTACTGTAGACGAGATTATTTTTTAAATTATTTTTTTTTTGTATTTTTGGTGTTTTTAAAGTTCTTTTTGATATTTTTTTTGTGTATTATTGTAGCATTGTAATTGAAAAACTTGTTTTTCAAAAATCTCCAATCCAAACAGAGTTGTCATTTCTTCTGTAATTCTGATTGAGAAATTTTCTTGACAAAGTATTGCAATTATTGTCAAGGCTGAATCCCTAATTCCATGCTTGATGATTCCATTTCACGCTTGTTGTCGAAATAGCACATATGTCCTCATATTTGGTTTTTCCAATATTGTGCTAGCTTAGGAATTTATACGGTGGTAATACATATTGCTTTACTCATAATATCATGGGCTAAATTAAGCATATGTAATGTGACTATTCTTACTTTCAAGGTTCATTTACATATGCTGCTCATAAACCATTTACAGGTTGGTCACTGATATTCCAGCCACCACAGGAGCATCATTCGGTGAGTAGTTCATTTTTTCCCCTTTTTTCTTTTGTTTTTTGAAATTATTGGTGAGTATCTCTCTTTGTTCGTTTAAAGATTGGTTCGCATATGTTTCTTACCATTTCTATCATCGCACAGATAATGGGATATGTATGTGTATGCATCTGGCACATGAATAAGGGAAAATGCTTTATCAAAAAAGAAAAAAGAAAAAAAGAGGCAAATAGAAAAAAGAATACTAGCCAGGACCATAGTATCCGAAAATGCTTTCTTTGGCCTTCTTTCCCCGGGTAATTTACAGATGACGTTCTTGAACTTTGTAACGGATTCTATTTGGATCTTTAAAGTTCAGAACTTATTAATTGGTGTAATTACTCAAATTTGCTCCCACTAACCTTGATTTTGTATTGAAGATACGTTTGATTAAAGGAGTAAAAAGGGTAAATAGGCGAGACATCCTTAAGCTTGATTTTAATCTCTAAACTTCAAAATCCATTTAATCTATCCCCCTATTTCGCCATTATTAATTATATACTTTGGGAGATAAAATAGTGATTCACGTTATATGCACACTTTTACTAGGCGTAAGACATAAAATTGCAGGAATTATAGGGAACATAATTCAAACAAATGTGAAAAATGGCTCATATGGACTACCTTAGCAAAACTTTCAGAGGATTAAGATTGAATTCTGATCAAATGTTGAAGGATATTCAATTACCCTTTATTTCCCACTAGATCTTGTCATGCACTAGTTCTTGGACGACAACATCACAGATCACACCATCCAAAAAGAAGGGATGAGCCGACCTGATCAGACTCACATGTTGATCAAATTAAAGCTGCGATGAATTTTGCTTATGTCTATCCGCTTTGATGCTTATACTTGTTTGCTTCTAATTTTCTTTTTCCTCTATTTCCATTTTTGAACAAACATTATCTTTTTAGGGCCTGACTAGACCCGAATCTCTAGCTGGAAAATTCGTTCTTTCTCCACACTTGAATTTTTTATCGCTCCCATTTCCATTCTCGGTGGCAGGCAATCTCCTTGATGGCTCAATCCACATGCTTGTCGAACTTCAGAAATGATGTTTTGGGTTCGACAACTTCTGTTGATTTGTATAAGCGTGTAGCATTTGAATCAATAATTTTACCTGAATCACTCTCCATCTTTGCATGCTTTTCATTTGAGTACATATAGTCATGAAAGGATGTCTGAGTCAAGAAATATGTGATCATCGTTGCTCCTAGAAAGACGTTGACAGTATTTTATTGGTCAATAATTGCACTGTGGAATGAGAAATTGGTTGCATGAATATGTTTCTCAGGCATCCGGGTCCAATATAGTATTGGTTACCATTTTTTTTTTTTTCCTTTCCTGTGACAATTTTAATGTCTAACAGCTCCAAAACTCTGAAAATGTTACGTACCAAATGAAATGATACCCAAAAGATATTGGTAGTCATAGAAAACTGGTAAACCATAATTTTGCCAGTCATGTCTGCGTTGAGGGGATAACTCGCATTATGGTGATAAATGTGTAGGCCAAGAAATTGTGTGCTATGAGAGTCCACGGCCATCAATGGGAATCCACCGCTTCGTCTTTGCGCTTTTCCGACAGCTTGGGCGGCAGACAGTCTATGCTCCGGGGTGGCGCCAGAACTTCAGCACCAGGGACTTTGCTGAACTTTACAATTTAGGTTCGCCTGTTGCAGCAATTTACTACAATTGCCAGAGGGAAGGTGGATCTGGAGGCAGAAGATCGTCATGAAAAGCCATCTGTACAATTAATGTTATGTTATTTTAACATAACAGTGCAGGTGTGCTGATGATCACGTCTTTCATAATTGTATGCGTCAACAGTGGCTCCTTATCTACCTTTTGATAACTCGAACTCGTAGCCTCTCAATTATTATAAGTGAAGAGTTTTATCAGTTGAGCTGTACTTCACCTGAAAACAAGTAAAAATAAGTGTATCTTGCCACTCTTAGTACTACTTAGGTGATTTGTCGGGGCCACAGAGTCGTATCTGCTTTATTAATACTAGTAAGAAATGATCCCAATTTATTGCATCATGACCTCTTAGTGTTTACGGGGGATCACAATTATACAGATGATCTATTTTACCTGTTACTCGCATGTCATGGGTATGCCCAAACACCTGAAGTTGAAGATGGTCGAGATGGAAGTTTACCCTTGGAACCCATGTTGGCTTGGAACGGTTTCTAGCGTCAATCCCACTTATCATGTGAGGGTAGAAGAAATTTAAATAAACAGTATATGACAAGTTAACTAAACAAGATACTTGGCATAAATATAGAAGTGATATTGAGTTGTTACAGGAAAAGTGGTACTGAAGATCCCGTGTAGGCTTGGAAAGGTGTATTGTTCTTGAGGACCATTCACGGCTCAATCTGTGCACCTACAAAATTTCCAAGCCTGAGGAATGTTTCTCCTCAATTTATTGTTGGAATGAAACAGAGTTATTCGCAACTAAGTCATGACTCATGATGATCAAATAAGCAAGCTACAAAATACAAGAAAATCGAATAGCTACTCTTGAGTATGTAATGACTCCACCAAGCATGGCCTAGAATATCCAGTTAATCAATGGAATGATTGATCTAAGGACCATTATTTCTTAAGACATTTGAGTTCACAGATTTTCGCATCAGTTGGTACAGTGATTTTTATGTATTTATTTATTGTCAGAAGTTAAATAGTGAAATTGTACAAATGTAAGAGGAGATAAATAATGTACCAATGAGCCCAATGGACACATAGTACGTGCACTAACCGGCACTCAGTAGAGACAAAACCATTTGCAATCTAGTAATCAGGTAATGGATTTTCTGAAAAATGGCAGATAAGTATTCTTGTTTCAAGAACAACGAATTATAAGCATCTAGACAGGGTAGTCCATTCTAAGCAAATTTTGTACAGGTGAGAACCTTATAGTATAGACAGTAATTTCTGTTACCATTACTAGACTCGTGTTAATGAATCGAGGTGTTCAAGAACAAAGTCCAATTTGACTCAAATAAGTTCAATTTCAACTCGTTGGTTTGATTAAATTAATGGAGTTCGAACACCTAAACAAGCTCAATCAATTAACAAGCAAACACGAACCTTTTGTTTTTGTGAGCATTAGTTTTTGTCTGCGAAACAATTGCTTCATATTATGCTATTACTTTTGTTTATGCTTTGTCAATCAATATAAGAGAGTTCTCAAGATTAAAAATAAGCTAGACTCTATGTTTTCAAAACATTTATATCGAAAATCAACTTCAAGCATGAATAGCTTATTTTTGTAAAATGAATTGAGCTCGAGATGATTTTAAACTTAGGTTATTCTTAAATTAGCCGAACTCAAACAATGATTTTATCTCATAAAATTTTGAATGAGCTCAAAACAACAAATGAACAGTCATTGGGGTTGGCTGAATGGTCAGGGGAGGGCTCTTAAGGTTCTCTTGACTGCCAGATTTAGGGTTCGAATCCTGGGTTTGGCAGTTAGGGTTCAATTTCGAGGAAATGATGGATTGGATGGTATAAAGAGAAGGAGTGTAAGTAAAAGATTTTGGGTTGGACGGTACGGAGGGAGAAAGTGTAACTCAACTCGACTGATTGTAAAAGATAAGATATTCAACTCGAAGGAAAGGATGGGATGGGTAGTGCGAAGGGAAGAAGTGTAAATGAGAGATTTCAAATTTGAAACTTCCACTTATGTCAGAAAGAAAAAAAAAAGATGGAAAGGATGAGGTGGGTGGTGCGAACAGAAGGAGTATAAATGAAAGGTTAAAATTCGAAACCCCCACTTATGCCAAAAAGAAAAAGAAAAAGAAAAAAAAGACGTTCAACTCAACTCGGCTGCTTGTAAAAGTTTGGAGACTAAAACTATAGCACCATGGTTACGATTCAATTTCTATACCTATAGAATCTCAACTAAAAAATCAAAATCAACATCAGCATAAACTCAACTCGGCTGGTTGTAAAAGTTTGGAGACTGAAACGATAGCACCATGGTTACGATTCAATTTCTATACCTATAGAATCTCAACTAAAAAATCAAAATCAACATTAGCATAAATCAGAAAACAACAAAAGATTCGAAAAACACCCTATTTGGAATATCCATATCCTGAAAATTGTTATACTTATTATTATTATTATTTGTGTAAGTGGAAGGTTTTCAAAACGTCTTACTTATAATTTCTCCTCTTTTACCATCCAACCCAACCCTCTCCCAAATTGTTATACTTCTTGTCTACTTGTTGACCCTCACATATGAATTACACGAAGGATAAACTCTAAAAGTAAAATTGTAACTAATATTTTAGTTTCATTAAATAGGGAAAACAATAGCATTCCCTTTATATGTTGTAACTAATTGTAACTAATCTTTTGGAGTAAACTCAATTACGAAATAAAAATCATGAACCATGTTTATCTATTAACTCAATCATGAGATTATTCTGACTTTCTTTTGATTTTCTCTGTCTTTTCGTGCAATTGCAAGCGGTTTGTGGATGCTACTCCAATTATGGTGTGGACAATACACAACTAGGAGTAGGATTCCCAACAGGACCAATGCATGTGGAGGGAAACATTTGGAATCCAAGTTATCTTGGGACACCAGATTGGACACAAGGGCCATTCAAGGCTCACTATCAAGAATTTGGCAAGGATGGATGCCAACAAAAGGCTTCCAATCCGGGACAATGTTCCTTCCAATCCTAGTATTGGAATCAAAACAAGTATTGGCAACTTTTTTCTTTGTTCTTTGTTTTTTTGGTTGGAAAGAACAAGTATCGGCAACTAGACTCTGAGCAGCAATGCAGATTGCAAAATGCGAGGAAAAGTTATATGTATGGAGATTACTGTAAGGACCCAAAAAGGCATGGCCCAGATTGTGAAGTTAATCAATAGAAAATAAAGTTCTTTTTTAGCTCCTTCCTTTTCATATTACAAATCAAATGCCCATGAATGATGGATGGTTCTTGAATAAGTTATAGGGATAATTTCAGAAGCCTCCCTTGAGGTTTTTCCTAATCACACCTAGCACTCCTAAAGTTTCTGAAATCATACTTAGCACCCTTAGAATGACAACTTTTGTAACATATCACCTCCTTTAGGTAAAAATAGTATTAAAAAATGTACTTAGGAGAGAGACTATAATATTCTTCCACGTTTGCCCTTTTGCAAGTTGATTTTTGAAAACTTGAAGATGAAAATAAAAACAAGTTGATTCTTTTTAAGCCTTTTCCATATTTCTTATGTAGGAAAAGGCAAGAAAAAAAAGAAAAAACATTTATGTTCGATTATATAAAAATAAAGTAACAAAAATGCCATAAAATATGGGCACATTTTGGGCGCTATTTTTTTTTTTTTGCATATGCAATCGAATATAGGTTTTGAAGTATTTAGACAATCTAAACATAGAAAATCAATTTTTTTTTTTAACTATGATTTTATCTTGTTATCTAGTTTAATCAGTAAGAGGTGAGGGAACAATAGGTTAAAATCATTCATTTGGTGAAAAAAAAGGCTGATGGCATATAGTTTTTTTTTTTTTAAACAATCTCTTTATTAATCAACTGCAATGAGGGAAAAAGAAACAAAATGCAAATTGCTACCTAACAAGCTAACAAAACTCTACTCCTACGAAGGCTCAGAACGCCCAACCGATCCAGAGTAATATCACCTCTCACCAGGCGAGGCAAGTCAGAGAACGAACCATACGTTGAATTAATCATACTGCTGGCATGTAGTTGAAATCATGAAAAAATGCATATTAAATATACCTATAATAGTGTTCAATTATCAAAAACAAATTTTTTGAAAAATTGGTTAACAAACAGTATTTGTTGAACATAGTTTTGTGGTTTTCAAAAAAATTTTATTTCCTTTCTATCCAAAGCTTTGGCACAGATCTTATAATGGTCATATGAATCAATAAAAATTATATAATTCAGCAATTATTGTACTTACACCTCCTCAATTTTTATGTAAATATTGCAATCCTATTTGTTTTTATTTTCATATTCTAAAATTCAAAAATCAACTTGCAAAAGGGCAAAATTGGAAGAATACTATAGTCCCTCTACTAATATATTTTTTAATATTATTTTTACATAAAAGGGCTGACATGTTACAAAGGTTGTCATTCTAAGGGAGTTAAGTGTGATTTTAGAAACATGAGGGGTGTTAAGTGTGATTAGAAAAAACCTCAGGAGGTTTTTGAAATTATCTCTAAGTTATATGGACAATACCTTCCTGTTTAGACCTCGGTTTGATGGGACCATTTTCTTTTTTCAAAAATTAAAAAATTTCTCTAGCCAAAAAACTTGGGCACGCCAAAAAACTTAGGATGCCCATTCTCTAACTTACAAATGTGAAGAAACTATACAATGTTTCTGTATAACTAGTTAATTACAAATAAATTTCATCCATTCTTCAATTTAAGAAATTGAGAAAAATTTTGTATTCTCTCTCCTCATAATTAGACTTTTGAGAATCAATTACCAATATTTTTTTTAACAATCATGCATCCACATGTCAGTTATTTAGACATTTTTTTCTCTTATGAATTTTTGTTTATCAAAATCTTTTTTTGAACAATTTTCAAAAGATAATCATTTGTTAGTATATTCCCTAATGTATCCACCCTTTTCATGTGAAACTTTATCACCATCAATTAGAGTAGTCAAAATTGAATGACGGATTGAAATTGAAAAGAGGTACTTTTATCTCTTAGGGGATTAAGTGACA